TGGTGGTGGTGGTGGTGGTGGTGGTGGTGGTGGTGGTTGTGGTGGTGTTCCTCTCTCTTCAATGTTTCTATCTCTCTCTAAAAACCAATAAAAACAGCCCTAGCCAGTTTTGCTCAGTGGATAGGGCATCGGCCTGCAGACTGAAGGGCCCTGGGTTCGATTCCGGTCAAAGGCATATGCCTGGGTTGCGGGCTCAATCCCCAGTAGGGAGATGTAGGAGGCAGCTGGTCAATGACTCCTTCTCATCATTGATGTTTCTATCTCTCCCTCTCCCTCTCCCTCTCCCTTCTCTGAAATCAATAAAAATATTTTTTAAACTAACTAAATAAAAATCAATAAAAACAGATTTAAAAAAAAAAATGAAATGAGGGCCTAGCACTTTCTTGTCAGCCATCTTGCTTACACCACTCCCCAGTGACATCTCTTTTTTCCTAAACATGTTTGTCTATTGTTTTATCTTCATTTTCTAAGGTTGTGGATCACCTGGAAAATATACTAGGAGCCTCAGTTCAACATGTTAAACTAAAGCAAATGAAGTATTCTTTTCAGTTATGGGTCACAATGATGTCAGCAAAGGGACCTGATGGGACGGTATGTTCACTACTTTCCTTTTTTAATAAATATTTATTGACCTTCTATTGCGGGCCATATGTTGTCAATATGGAGGAATGAAATTAGTAAGCAAATAGGTGACATAGTTAAATAATTAAAGATTATACAGTTTGGTGAGTGCTATACCAGTATAAGCATATATGGTTGTAGGATCAGAGGGGGGGGGTCCTTCTCTTTGTGGAAGTCAGGGAAATCTTCCTGGTGGAGGAATTGCTATTCACCAATATGTGAATAATTTGGAGACCTTAATCAGGTAAAGAAGTGATCAAAGGTATTTCAGGCAGAGATAACATTATGGACAAGACACAGGGGCGTGGGTTTTATTCCATTGTAGCATGTGCTGGATATCAGAGCATTTAGGCTTCAGTAAGGCATAAAGTGATTAGGTAACCCCAGTTATCAAGATTCTACTTTGCCGCCCCATCAGAGGTTTTAGAACAACAGTTACCTGCTTTTCTACAATGTAATTTCACCCTCCTGTTATTTGCTAAGTTTGGAAGCTGATGTGGGTACTTGTGAAAGATGCTTTACTTATGATTTCTTCAGGCTTGTTGAGGATATTAAATATGAATTCTTTAAGAATAATAAGTTGGCCCTAGCCGGTTTGGCTCAGTGGATAGAGTGTCGGCCTGGGGACTGAAGGGTCCCAGGTTCGATTCCAGTCAAGGGCATGTACCTTGGTTGTGGGCACATCCCCAGTAGGGGGTGTGCAGGAGGCAGCTGATGGATGTTTCTCTCTCATCGATGTTTCTAACTCCCTATCCCTCTCCTTTCCTCTCTGTAAAAAATCAATAAAAAATATTTTTTAAAAAGAAAGAGTAATAAGTTGACATTATGAAGAAATAGGAAAGTTATTTTCAAGTCTTTTAACTTTTTTACATATGCTGGCCATTAGGAGTGTGACAGACCCAAATTCAAATGGCAAGTCACTTCTTAGCTCTGTTTTCTTTTTGGCACGGGCGTTATCTATTCTTCACTTTACTCATCTGTGAAATTAAGCTATTGATGCCTGTTACAAGACTATTTTCTGGATTAAGAATATTTCTTGTAGCCCTAGCTGGTTTGGTTCAGTGGATAGAGCGTCTGCCTGTGGACTGAAGGGTCCCGGGTTCAATTCCAGTCAAGGGCACCTGCCTAGGTTGTGGGCTCAGTTCCCAGTAGGGGGCGTGCAGAAGGCAGCCGATCAATGATTCTCTCTCATCACTGATATTTCTAACTCTCCCTTTTCCTTTCTCTCTGAAATCAATAATAGTATTTTTTTTAAATAAAAGAATATTTCTTTTAAAGTTCCTGACATTTAGTAGCCCTACAAATAAGGGAGCATTTTCATGATCCCTTTCTACCTTAAGGAAAATAAATTGTGACTATATTTGTGTTTAAGAGACCAAAAGTTTCTTTTATATAAGCACTTTGGACATCTCTCAGAATAGGAAGTTCGTGTAAATGCGCAAGTTTGGATGTTTGACTCTGACATGTAGATTCATAATCAGAGTATGAACAAAACTAAATCAAAGATCAGTAACAAAAATTGTATTCTGAGTTCATTTGCAGGAGATACTCTCTTATAGCTTGGAGAAGCTTATAACATAGGTGCTAATTGTTAAAATTGGTCCTGAAATAAAAAACCTCAAATAAGACAAAAGAGTGAAAATCTGGTCTCCCCTCACCTTGAATTATACCTGACTCAGAGCTGCTATTCATAGGCACTCTGCCATGTTGCTCAGTGATGGTTCATCTCTTAAGAACAGGTACATTATAGGGTTAGTACTTGAAGCTTTTTCTATGGAAAAAAGATGTGGCCATTTTCTCAACTATACTTGTTTATGGCCATTTTGCCACTTTATTAAAAGAGATTTATTGAGTTATTTCCACACCATGTAAATCACTCTTTTAAAGCATACAGTTAAATGATTTTTAAAATATTTGTAGAATTGTGCAACCAACACTACAATCAATTTTAGAACATTTTCATCACCACAGAAAGAGACCCATACTTATTATCAGTCACCCCCTCCAGTATCCTCACCACTCCTATCCACAGCCTTAAGCAAAAACTAATCTACTTTCAGTATCTATAGATCTCCTTACTATAGGAATCTATATATATAAAAGCCTAAGCAACCGTTACTACCATTCAACCAAACAGCTGGTTGACCGGTCGCTATGGTGCACACTGACCACCAGGAGGCAGATGCTCAATGCAGGAGTTGCCTCCTGGTGGTCAGTGCGCTCCCACAGCCAGCCTCCTGTGGCCGACCAACCTCCCGCAGTCCCTCCCCCCAGCTGGCCAGCCAACCTCCTGTGGTCCCTGTCCCCAGTCAGCCCTGATCACCGGCCAAGCTGAGGGACCCCCCCCCCACCTGTGCACAAATTCATGCACCAGGCCTCTAGTTTCAATAAATGGAATCATACATTATGTGGTGTTTTTGTAACTGGCTTCTTTCACTTAGCATAAGGTGTTTTTTTTTTTTAAATTTTATCCATGTGGTGCCTTGTATCAGCACCTTATTTCTTTTCATGGCTGGATAATATTCTGTTGAATTAATACATTTTGTTTATCTATTCATCAGCTGATTGCTATATGGCTATAATTCATAGTGCTGCTATGACCATTCCTATTCATATGTTTGTCTCAACCATACTGTTTTTGAGAGAATACTTGTATTTATGTTTTAGCACATCAATATGTTTATTTTCACATTTACATTTTAATCTTTTGCTTTCCCAGGTCTTTTTTTTTATTAAATTTGTTGGGGTGACATTGGTTAATAAAGTTTTCTTCACTCTCAGGAACCTATAAAATTTGTGGATCTGCTTAGTGACCATGGGAAGCCTATCAGCCCTCTGTGGGAATTGATGAAATGGTGCCTGGGCCTATCAGCGCACACCATCCCTGCCATTGGTATGTAACTCATCTTTTCTCTGGTTTGCTGTCTTTAGGGGAGGGGAGAATATCTTACCACACCGCAACACTGAGGAAAGCTGAGCTATATCAATAATGAATTAGTGTCCATCATATGCTGACATCTCATTATGTGCCAACCACTGTCCTGTGCATTTTATACCATTGATTTACAACATGTCTATTAAAATGCCCATTTTATAGGCTTAGAAATCTTAATTCATGAAAGTTAGATGGCTACCCAGTTGAGGAGTGCTCTTCAAATGTTTGCCTTACAAACTCAAGTGCCTACGGTGCTTTCTCTGTGTCGTGTATTGTATTTAAATATCTAATTGGAAATTTTGGACAATATAATTGACTTTAGGAATAGGCCCATTCAGGAATATTTTGGTGAATTAACCTCTCAAAATCTTCATTATTGGTCATGTAGGGTAGGTTCAGTTGAAGCAGCTCACCACAGAAATTAGTGCAGCTCTACACACACCCCCACCTGTACACAAATTCATGCACCAGGCCTCTAGTTTTAAATAAATGGAATCATACATTATGTGGTGTTTTGTAACTGGCTTCTTTCACTTAGCATAAGGGTTTTTTTTTTTAACATTTTATCCATGTTGTGCTTTGTATCAGCACCTTATTTCTTTTTATGGCTGGATAATATTCTATTGAGTTGGTGATTGTTATTGTAAACAAACACTCATTGAATACTTAAGTGTCAACTATTAGATTTGTGGCACCTTTTCATGTGTTATCCCTTTAAACATTTAAGAGACGCTGATAGTATAAGTCAATGTTACCTCTTTATAGTGATAAATTAAGGCAAGTAGAAATTAGTTGCTTTATTTCACACTGGGGCCCAATCTTAACTTTTCAAGATACTAGTTTGCTTAACCTTCATTCAGTTGTTTACTAGTATGTTATCAGTGATTCATTTTTATCTATAAAATGGAATTAATAAAAGCATGTATTACCTGTGTGATTGAGGGGATTAAATAATAGGTACTTCCTAGCACTATTATGCTAGTTAAATGAGATTATGCATCTAAAGCATGTGAAATTCAACCTAATCATGCACATACTGGCAATTTCAAGTTTATAAAGATGAAACCACAAGTCTTGGAACATCTTAAAGACTCAATAAATAGAAGCTATTTTTGATTTTTCTTCTTGGTTAATCCTCACCCAAGGATATTTTTCCTATTGACTTTTAGAGAGAGTAGAAGGGAGGAAAAGGGGGAGAGAGGGAGAGAGAGAGAGAGAAGAGAGAGAGAGAGAGAGAGAGAGAGAAGAGGAGAGGAGAGAGAGAGAGAGAGAAACGTTTATGTGAATGAGACACATCCATTGGTTGCGTTCTACACACACCCCGACCAGGGCCAGGGCCCGGGAACAAACCTGCAACCCAGGTACGTGCCCTTGCCCAGGAATCGAATCCGAAACCCTTTGGTTCACAGGCTGATGCTCTTATCACTGAGCCACACCGGCCAGGGCTATTTTTAATTTTGTTATTATTACATAGCTCTACCAATGAGGTCTCTATCATCAGAAATTGCTCTGTTGTTGGAAAAAGACACTGCTTTCACTGGCCCTAATATTCTGATATCATCAGGAAAATCATTTAAGGACAATGAAAACTCAAAGCACTCACTTGCCATGTATTTGTCAGAGTTACTTTTCTTCAAAAGAATCTTGACAGTATTCTAGTCACTGGTGTCCTCTTTGTTGTGCATAGCCATAAAATTTGAAAGACAGTGGTATACTGATATGAAGTGTTTAAGGAACTCTTGCGTTGTCTTATGCCATTTCATGCCAAAGAAATCACATTTTATCATCCTAGGTATTGTCAGGGGCTTAGCTGAGTTGTTCTGTGTTGAAAGAGCCAATTACAGCAACAGGACAAAATAAAAGTAACAGTGAAGCCTTTAGTGGCAGTGATAGTAGAAGCAGGAGACTACAACTGGAGAAAACAACTCCCCCCTTTTCCATTTCCCCTATGAAAATTCGCCATATGTAATACTCTTTGTAATACTTTAAGCAATAAAACAATAAAAATAAAAAAAAATTCGCACCAGTCAAGGGTCAAATGGATCAGCACAAGTGCGGAGATTTTCTGACTGTTAAGGGGCCTGAAATAAAGGCTCCAGCAGTTGTACAGACCCTGAGGTCAGGAATAGGATAAGGGAGAGAGATTAGGAGTGGAAAAGCCCTGAGTAGTAATCAGAGTAGGGAAAAGGGTCTTCAAGGTTTCCTCTACTTCTCCCATAAAGATACCTGAAGAAGACCTCTGCCAAAGGCCTCAGCTAAAGATATTTAGGTGCCTTGGCTGAGAATGCAAATATGTACAAGAACATCACAGGCTAGATAGGCCCAAGTCCTTGACTGCAATACCCTATAGATGTTTCAGTGTGCTGTCTGTGCGCCATATCTGGTTTGGAAAGGGCAGCTTGCCAGATAAGCCTTTTATAATTGCTGATGGCTACACTTGAAAAATCCCACAGAGATTTTAACCACAAGCTAGACTCTTCCAGATAAAAATATTCCAAACCATATCAAAGAATTTATTCATAAAGATGTACATTGCAGCATGTTTTATAATAACAAAAAATGAGAAGCATCCTAGATGTTTAACAACAGAGGAATAGGTAGTGAATTATGATTCATAGATAGGATACAATTGTATGCAGGCACTTAAGACCAATTTACGAAGCTATGTTGATAACACGCATTTATGTATGTTAAAATGGTGAGTAGAATATGTGGAAAATTGTACGTACAGTTATATAGGAAAGTACATGAACTAAGTGTACTAACATATTTAGTTATTTTCCATGAGCACTATATTTTTTTGGTGAGTTGTTTAGTCTACTTTAATCTTTTGAATTTTTCTTATTTTCTACTAGAGGCCCAGTGCACGAAATTTGTGCATTGGTAGGGCCCCTAGCGGCTGCCTGATGCCAGCCAGGGCCTCCCTCCCTTCCCCCGGCCGGCCCCATCCCCTGGTCGAACTCCTGGATGAACTCCCGGTCGAGGGGACAATTTGCATACTATGCTTTTATTATATAGGATTGAAAAAAATAAACTTATTTTTAAAATAAGTAAACTATTCTAAGATACGTAAATATTAATCTTAAATACTAAATATGTATTAATCATTTATGACATATACTTAAAAATATGTACGTATATGTATGTATTAATGATTTTTTCATAAAATATAATTTAAATCCTGAAGATACATTAAATAGAATCCTCTAGAAATATATTTCCATTATAAAGTTTTCTAAGAATTACATGCATGAAGATGTTTATTGCAGCATTTAAATTTCAGAAAAAGTTTATATGCCCAACAATCATGGGCTAGTTAAAGAAAAGCCTATTATACATTCCTACAATTAAAATATTACACAGTTATACAAATCCTTATGATACAGCATTCTGTGGGAGAAGCTAGGAAGTCGATATATAGCATTACCAAAAAAAGACCAGGAGTTGACATTCAATGATCAACAATGTTCATGTATGGGTAGCCAGGTTATAAGGTTTCTTTTTCATCACTTTTTAACTTTCTCAATGTTATAGAATAAGAAAAGATAAAGTAGCCTGGCCCGCATGGCTCGGTGGTTGAACACTGGCCTATGAACCAGGAGGTCATGGTTCGATTCTCAGTCAGGGCACATGCCCGGGTTGCAGGCTCAATCCCCAGTAGAAGGCATGTAGGAGGCAGCCAATCAATGACTCTCATCTTGATGTTTCTATCTCTCTCTCTCCCCCTCTCTTCTTCTCTGAAATCAGTAAAAATATACTTTAAAAAAAGAAAAGATAAAGAACACTAGGATTTAAAATGAAGTTTCATACCTTCACTTGTTATATGTTACCATTCTGTAGGACTGGCCTTGTTGGAAGCAAAGATCAAATACAACCCTGAGAAATACAAGAAGTTTAAGGCAATGGAAGAAAGCCTGTATAAAGAATTGCTGGAGATGCTGGGTGATGATGGTATCTTCTTATATCCCTCGCATCCCACAGTGGCTCCCAAGCATCATGTTCCTCTGACAAGACCTTTCAACTTCGCTTACACAGGTACCTAGTATTCCTTATACTCTTTAATCTTAAAGAAACAGAGATATTTTCCAAGAAAAGTGTTCTCTCCTTTTGCTGTCCAAAAATGATGTGTAATGAAAAACAAATGGCAACCCTAGCCGGTTTGGCTCAGTGGATAGAGTGTCGGCCTGGGACTGAAGGGTCCCAGGTTTGATTCCGGTCAAGGGCACATGCCCGGATTGCGGGCACATCCCCAGTAGGGGGCATACAGGCGGCAGCCGATCAATGATTCTTTCTCATTGATGTTTCTATCTCTCTCTCCCGCTCCCTTCCTCTCTGAAATCAATAAAAATATTTTTAAAATTAAAAAACAAATGGCAGAAAACAGTTGCTATTGTCATATGTGGAAGATGATTTGCTAATATCTGCATTCTCCCTAAGAAAACCCTGCAAGTGAGTATGAGTATCACGTTTTACAGCCCCGGGCTTCAGGGAGGTTCAGTGACTTGTCTCCAGTAACACAGCATGAACTGACTCAATCCAAAGGCTGCCATGGCTCTTCTGTTGCATAATATGCCAAGTCAGCTGTTTTACCAGGATATGTGGCTTCCCAGCAAATACAAATACAAAATAGAATTCTCCAAGATGATCATCTATTTGCCTAGCTATGATCACTTCTGAGCTTGAATCATTCTAGTATTCACCCATTTGTTTCAGTTTCAACTGGTTTGGGAGCTGTGTCTGGACCGTGGTTATATGAGGTCTAGAGGCCCCTGGCAATGTACCAGGTCGGTTTCTATGGTTCCTATAAGGTCTCTTCCAGAGAACCACACTATATACTTTCCTACTCTAAAAACCTATGGTCCACTTGAACTTGGAATTTGAAGCTTGGTTTATTTGAGTGCAAATACTTGACTCTACTAGTTTTTACCTGTGTTTGCTGGTACAAGACACTGAATGTTTCTGAATCTATTCCTTCTCTAGGCATTCAGAGTAATCTGTACCTTGCATTGTTGCTGTCAAAAGTAAATTAAATAGTGCATGTAAAGTACTTGGCATAAGGGTTGTGGAGGATGTGGGGGAGAGGGTATCAAATGACAGTTTGTATCATCCTTCATTGACTCCTCTTTACACTAATTCTTGGCTTTGGTCACTCACTTCCAATTCCTTGAATCTTTGAAACAAGTTTCTGCCCAAATTTCTATCACCTAGCTACTCAAGTTCTGAAGACAGGAAACATAATTGTCTTTAACAGGGGTGGGGAACATCCGGCCCGTGGGCCATGAAAGGCCTGCAAAATCATTTGGTCTGGCCCTGCCAAGGCATTAGGGATGAATTACTTAAATGTTTGACCAAATATAGCAGATTGATTTTTAAGTTGATAATTCTGTATGGACCTCGAAAGATGTTATAAATATCCAAATGGCCCTCTCTGGTTTGGCTCAGTGGATAGAGCGTCAGCCTGCGGACTAAAGGGTCCCAGTTTCAAATCCTGTCAAGGGCACATGCCAGGGTTGCAGGCTCGATCCCCAGTAGGGGGCATGCAGGAGGCAGCCAATCATTGATTCCCTGTCATCATTGATGTCTCTATCTCTTTCTTTTCCTTTCTTTCTGAAATCAATAAAAATATATTTAAAAAATAAGTAAATATCCAAATGGCCCTTGGTAGAAAAAAGGTTCCCTACCCCTAGTCTATAGGCAAGAACCTAAAGAGAAAATTACCAGTTATAACTTTTTTGGTTTTGTTTTGTTCTGCTTTTGTTTAATTTATTTTTATAAACATTTATGTTATTTACTAACTTTCTCACTGATTATTATTAACACCGGAGATTAGTCTAGTATGATGTTCCCTGAGATTAAAAAGACCAACTCAGCCTGAATTTTAGCCCAAGACCAACTCATTTTTGAAAACCTGGTTCATATCTCAACTCTGACCACTCCCATACTCAGCCCACAGTGAAAGATCCATCTTTTGAGATTCTCTACCACTTTTTACCTAAATCACTATTTTGTTGGTTTCTGAGAATATTTCTTCTTGTTTTATTAAAGATCTCTTCATGTTTGTGTCTTAACTCTGTCTAGAGTGCCTTCCTTGAGGAAAGCAGTTATTTTGCAAGGCTTTGTTTTATTGTTTTTAAGTTTGTGGTTTCTAGGAGATATTCAGATGGAGATGCCAAATAGGAATTTGGTTATATAGGTATGAAATGTGGGTCAGGGAATATAGATGTGAGGTCATCTGCTCATAGGTGATCATAGCTGAAATTATGACAATGGCCGAGATTCTCAGATAGATGTGTAATAACAAAACAGAAAAGGACAGACTGAGGCCACCCATATATCCCTCTCTCTGATGTTTACTCCTCCCAACAGCCTCAATAGGCAGGAGTCCCAGAAACCCCCCACTCTTGACAATGCAAATGGCCTTGCCTATTTAATCTCGTTGGCCTCCCTGTCGACACAGACAGCTCAGGAGAGTTGGCGCTGCATAGTTTATTTATCCCAGTCTGTTAGACTCGTGTGCATTCATGATGTTACAGATGTTGGAGAAACAATACATCCCACGGGGCCTTACAGAAGCAGATAGCAAATCCCACTTGCTTACCCAAACACTTGCACCCAGCCCTTCTGGCAAAATTCCCAAGAAGAAAATAAGGGGATGTGGGAGGAGTGTGTTTTATTGGTGAGGAACAGCAGCAGCCAGCTGTCTCCCTAATGATTATTTGTATTCATACAGAAATCTGTTCAACGAAGGAATTTGAGCTCAGAAGGAACTCCTCCTTGGTAATACACATCACAGCCCCGCACGGTGTTTCCATAATTTACTATATCTCTGCCCTGGGACTGTTTGAAGCACAACACGTAATTCAAAGCTTCCAAGAATAAATGAAAGTTGAATCCTGTTCTATAGTTAAGGACACTGTGTCATAGAGACCTGCTTGGTGACTCCCAAAGATCAATTCTCACACCGGAAATTACACTCCTGCTTCCTATTTTTTAAAAAGATGTTTTTTATTGATTTCAGAGAGAGGAAGGGGGAGGGGGAGAGGGATAGAAACATCAATGATGAGAGAGAATCATTGATCAGCTGCCTCCTGCACGCCTCCTACTGGGAATCAAGTCAGTAACCCGGGCATGTGCCCTGACTGAGAATCTAACTGTTCCCTCCGGATTCATTGGTTGACACTCAACCACTGAGCCACACGGGCCCAGCTTCTGCTTTTTAATTTTTATTCCAGAACTCTACCGAGCTTAACAATAGTTTCCTAAAGAACTTAATCTACCTTCTAAAGGCTTTATCAGTCTCAGCTCATGAACCGATATAGCACCTTCAAGGGTTATTAGTAAGCTGAAACCAAGTGAAGGATGATTTTGTACAAAACTAGCCTCAAACTATTCTGTCTATAAATTTCTCTGCAACTTTTATACCCTATCCATTGTACAGGTATACTGAATGCCAAGGTTATACATTAGAAATCATCTATATCTTGTTTAAATTCCTTTCTACAATTTGCTTATGGAGTGTTAATTCAGTTCTCCTTGGACACACACCCCAGGAATGTGAAATTCACCATCACCTAGAACAGTGCATTTAATTTTTATGTAGAACAAAAAAGCTTTTTGGAGGGATTTCCTCAGATTGACATTAGCCACATTGAGAACTTTTTCCTGTAGTTCAAGCCTAAGCACATTTACAGAGTTCCCATTGTGAACCCGGTGATATGCCCAGTAATATGGATACAAGATCCGTGATAGATAATAGTGCCATTTATCGAGTATCAAGTACCTATTATGTGCCAGATACTATGAGCTAGAAATGCTTTACATTATTCACTTAAGGCTCCCAGAAATCCTTCATAGCAGGTACAGTTATCCTTGTAAAAAATATGAAAAAACAGCCCTGCCGGTGTGGCTCAGTGGATTGAACATCGACTCATGCACCAAGAGGTCACTGGTTCAATTCCCGGTTCAGGTCTCATGCCCAGGTTTCGGACTCAATCCCCAGTAGGGGATGTGGAGGAGGCAGCTAATTGATGTTTCTATCTCTCTCTCCCCCTCTCCCTTCCTCTCTCTGTAAAATCAATAAAAACGTATTTTCAAAAAAAGTGAAGAAACAGAGTGACTTAAGGGGTCAGAGTCAGGGCTGGAATCCAACTGCATTTCATCTGACTTCAAAGCCAGTGTGGTTTCCACTATAGGCTTGGTTCAATACTGCTTAGCATTATTTTGCTTTCATTTCCTTCACTGAAGATGAAAACTTACTAGGCTTGGGCAACCTTCTGTCAACAACATAGAATTGTAAGATGCCATATAGCTTCGGATTTCAGCTGTGTTTTTATTTTTCCTATAAAGCAATATTCTTCTCAGTTGCTCTTCAGGCAGCTATGATATTTTTATCTTTATCTGATGCTTACAAGATGGATAAATTCACTAGGATATTTAATTTCTGCACCTTGTTCTTTTATGGCAAAGATGAGGATGCTAAATGTACTTTGCAGGATTGTTGGAAGGATTAAATGTGAAAATGTATATAAAGTGCCTTACAAGTATTAATAATAGTGATAATAATATTATTTATTGAAGCATATGTTTATGTTAACTTTAATGTAGTAATTTTAATATATCTGTTTTACTTCATAACAATTGCTACATATATGTATATATGTATATATATGTATACATACTTGGTATAAGGATATATATACATCTGCTGGTATATGTGTATATGTATATATTTACATATATATATATAAAATGAGTAGAATTAGAGTACAAACATAAGTCCCTTTATTTATGTTCAATTGATTTTTATACAGGTTCAAAGACAATTTCATGGGGAAATAACAGGCTTTTCCCACCAAATAACTAGAGACATTGACATAAGAATGGGTGTTAGGCATTTAATATATAATTACCTGTAAAACTATGAATAAATGAGAGCAAAGAGGTAGTTTATTATTATAGACTAGAGGCCTGGTGCACGAAAATTCATGCACGGGGACGGGCGGGTGTTTCCTCAGCCCAGCCTCCATGTGAGAGGGATGTCTGACTGCCAGTTTAGGCCCAATCCCAGGGATCGGGCCTAAACCGGCAGTCAGACATCCCTCTCATAATCCTGGACCCCTGGCTCCTAACCACTCACCTGCCTGCTGGCCTGATTGCCCCTAACTGCCCCCCCCAACCTGGTCACCCCTAGCTGCCCCCCGCTGCTGGCCCTGGTCTCCCCTCACTGCTCCCCCCAGCCTGGTCACCCCTAACTGCCTCTATCTTGGCCCTCACCACCATGTCTTTGTCTGGAAGGAAGTTGGACATCTGGAAGATGGCCGGTCGACCCGGTCTAATTAGCATATTACCCTTTTATTAGTATAGATAGACTATATAAGATACGATTGCTTAAATGGTGGGAAAATCATTCAGCAGGTGGAGGTACACTTTGCAGACAAAAATACATAATCCCTATATCTGGACTAATAGCCAGCCATATGCACTATACTGCCAAACCGGTTATTAAAAAATTGAACTGCTTTCTTACACCTTGCACCAAACAGCTGTTTCCCTTAAAACCCCTCCTCAGGCCCCACCTTAGGTTCTGCCTTCGCAGTTCACCCAGATTAGGTTCTGATTGGTCCGTTTCTATGCCAGTCAGTGTCAAAAGCTCCACCTCCTAGGCAGCCATTGGCTCTTCTGGGAAATCCAGAAAGGCCCTGCTGACAGCTGTCTCTCTAGGCCTATCCGCAGTCTCCATAGCAGCTGCTGACCAGGCCCTGCCTCTTTCTCTCTCCAGGCCTCGCCAACAGCCGAGCTGGTTGCTGATCAGGCCCTGCCTCTCTCTTTGTCCAGGCCTGGCCAGCAGCCGAGGTGGCTGCTGATCAGGATGTGCCTCTCTCTCCGGGCTTCTCTCTGGGCCTGATCCGCAATGGTGAGGTCATTGGGCCTCTGGCTGGAGGCTAACGACCTCACTGTGCCTGCCTCGCCCCACCCACCAGCCTGCCGCCAGCCTTGTGGGCCTTGGGGGAGGCACCAAGAGGTGCTCCATGCACTTCCTGGTGACCAGTCATCCATTTGGTCGTTTAGGTCATAATGGTCCTAGGCTATTATTAGTATAGATTGATTTCAGAGAGGAAGGGAGAGGGAGAGAGTGATAGAAACATCAATGATGAGAGAGAATCACTGATCAGCTGCCTCCTCCTAGGATTGAGCCTGCAACCCAGGCATGTGCCCTGATCAGGAATTGACCCATGACCTCCTGCTCAACCACTGAGCTATGCTGCCCGGCATAACATGCTTTTCAATAGATAGTGGTGCAATTACTGCATGTCTACATGCAAAAGAATTAAATCATACCCCTATCATATACCATTTACCAACCTATATATAGCAGACCTAAATGTAAAAACTAAAACTACAAAAGTGTAATAGGCAAATCGACCAAACGACCAAACAGCAGAATGACTGGACGACCTTCCAGATGACCACGCTATGACATGCACTGGTGCCAGGCCAGCCAAGGCAGGTGCGATGCAATTGGTCTGGGGGCCCCGCCATTGCCCCACAATTGCCCTGCAGAGGGAGGCCCCAGCCACTGGCCAGCAGGGCAATCGATGGGAGGGGGTGCTCCATGATCACCCCAAAGAGGGAAGCCCAGGCCACCCTCTGCGCGGTGATTGATCACGGAGCCCTGGCCATGTGGGCAGGGCCTCCCTCTGGTGGGTGATCAATCGTGGATCCCCGTGATCGATCACCCCAAAGAGGGAGGCCCAGGCTACCAGGCCAGCAGCGCTGCGGCGGGTGGGCAGGGCCTCCCTCTGCGGAGCCCAGCAATTCATCACCCCACAGACGGCCAGCAGCCACAGACAGAGGTCCAGGCCAGCCAAGCGATTATACCCCACACCTGTTTCCCACAGAGAGAGGCGACCAGTGGCGGGGGAGCGGGGGCAGCGCTGCACAGATGGCAAACAGTGGCAGTAGCAGGGGCGGGGCCAACTGCCAGCAGCCGGGGGAAGGAAAGCCCAGATAGGCCCTGATTGCCCACCTGGCCTAGGGACCCTACCTGAGGGGTCCCAGATTGCGGGAGGGCACAGGCCGGGCTGAGGTACCCTCCCACCCCATGCACGAATTTCATGCACCAGGCCTCTAGTTGCAACATAACAATAGCCAAAAGGTATTAATTAACCCAGTTGTCCATCAGCTGGTGAATGTACAGTATAATCAAAATTTCATGTATCTATTCAACAGACACACTCTTTGGCAATGAAGAAGAACCACTTGGATGAACCTTGAAAACATTATGCTAAGTTAAAGAAGGCCAGACACAAAAAGACTACATATCATATGATTCCATTTCTAGTAAATGTCCAGAGTAATCAATCTATAGAGATAAAAAATATAGATTAGTGGTTTCTAGAGGCTCAGGGAAAAGGGGAATGGAGAGCAACTTATTTTATATAGTTTCTTTTCAGGGTGATGAAAATATTCTAAACATAGAATGTGGGGATGGCTACACAATTCCGTAAATTTATTATCATTCATTTGTACATTTAAAACAGGAAATCTTATTTTATGTAAGTTATACTACTATAATGCTCTATAAAAACATGAATGAAGTAAATAATTACAATTTACAAATCTAGACTACCACAAAATTATATTCCAAATTTTTATAAATGAAAAGAAAATTCATAATGCAATAAGATATTGCCCCATATTAGCATTTCCTCTAATTTTTCTGAAGATGTTACAAAGGGCAAGTTAGGAGTAGCATACCAGAAAAACACCTCTAGCTCTCATCTGCATTTTCTGTATTCAGATCCTGATTTGAGCTTTTACTAGCCCAGTCATTGTAGATATGTTACTTCTCTGTTCTTCAGTTATTTTATCTGTAAAATATGAATAATTAATAGTTTCTGTCTCTTGGGTTTTGTTATGATAATTCGAATGTTTCATTCACATCAAGTCCCTAGATGAGTCCAGCAGATAGGAAACTCTGCCTATATGTTTGTAACTATTATCATCATCACTGTACTGAGGGGAGAAAATAAGTTTTCAAGAACAGGTCTTAATTTCTCACATTATTCTTGTTTGTTTCACTCAGGTATCTTCAGTGCCCTGGGTTTGCCTGTGACCCAGTGCCCATTGGGTCTGAATGCCAAAGGACTTCCTCTAGGAATCCAGGTCGTGGCTGGACCCTTTAATGATCACCTGACCCTGGCTGTGGCCCAGTACTTGGAGAAAAGTTTTGGAGGCTGGGTCTGTCCTGGAAAGCTGTAGAATGATCTTCTCACCGTGTGTGAGTGTGTGTGTGTTTCTATAGGTTGGGTGAGATCAAGCACCGACATGCAAGTTAAGAAGAAACAACTGCAGAATAATCACTTGTTCAGTTATTCTTCCTACTGTTCTTTCTTTCACCAAGTGTTAACTTTCATAAAATGCTAATATTTGGTTCCTGCCCTCAGTTACCTGAGAAGATGGGCAAGTAAGTGAATATGTGCAATAAAGTATTCTATATGCTGTGATGGTGTCTGTTTTATATACAATAGGGAGATCACAGAACGGAATATTCCGTTTTAATTAGGGAATCATAAGCAACTTCATAGAGAAGATGATGCTTAAACTAAGAATTGGAAGACAATTATGTGTTTGCCCGGCAGGCCATGAAGTAAGGTAATTCCACTTAAGAACTGTAGTGACAAAAACAAGGCATGAGAACTACGTAGTGAATTCTTGTAAGTGTAGGAGCTGGAGAGGAATATGGAGGCGGATGAGAATGCAGCAAGAAAAGTTTCTCCAATATCATCAAAAAAGTATATGTCATAGTTCTGTCCACTAAGAGGGTCTAGAAGCAGTGCCAGCTTAGTACAAATAATCTCATAGCACCCAGATCTTCATTTCCAAATACCTTTTTCCATTAAAAAGAATGGGGCTTTTTAAAATATTTTTTTATTTATTCTAGAAACGTAGACATAGAAACAGCAATGATGAGAGAGAATCATTGATCGGCAGCTTCCTGCATGCTCCACATTAGGGATCAAGCCCATAACCTAGGTATGTGCCCTGACCAGGGATCGAACTGTGACTTCCTGGTTCATAGGTCAACGCTCAACCACTGAGCCATGCTGGCTGGGCAAACCAGGGCTTCTTGAAGAAAAAGCTGATTCCAGGACTGAGAGAAACTGTAAGGTGAGCCTGGAACATAGTTGTGCCAGAAAGTTACAAAGTGCTCAAAACTGAAGGAAAACATCAAAATGACACGGGAACAATTTAAAGAAGCTCTCACTGGCCAAACATGGGACAAGTTTAATACCAAAATGAATGACAGTGATGGATTATAACATATTGGGGTGGACGTGAGGGAAAGTAGATATAGATCTTGATATAAAATAGATATAGGTGCCCTAGCCGGTTTGGATCAGTGAATAGAGCATCAGCCTATGGACTAAAGCAGGGGTGGGCAAACTTTTTGACTCGAGGGCCACAATGGGTTCTTAAACTGGACCGGAGGGCCGGAACAAAAGCATGGATGGAGTGTTTGTGTGAACTAATATAAATTCAAAGTAAACATCATTACATAAAAGGGTACGGTCTTTTTTTTTTAGTTTTATTCATTTCAAATGGGCCAGATCCGGCCCGCGGGCTGTAGTTTGCCCACGGCTGGACTAAAGGATCCTGGGTTAATTTCCGGTCAAGAGCACATGCCCGGGTTGGGGGATCAGAGGCAGCCGATCAATGATTCTTTGTCATCATTGATGTTTATATCTCTCCCTCTCTTTTCCTCTCTGAAAAAAAATATATGTACATATTTTTTTAATAAAATACAGGTAATATATTTTGTATATATTTTGATTTCAAAATGATGACTTTTTAAAAACTATATTTTATTGATTTTTTACAGAGAGGAAGGGAGAGGGATAGAGAGTTAGAAACATCGATGAGAGAGAAACATCGATCAGCTGCCTCCTGCACA